TAATTTAACACAGATAGGATAGCTACTTATGTATTAGGATATTTAATATTAAGGTAATTAAATGGTGGCGAAGGTGTGGCTATTGGGGGAGGCTGGAGTCCACGTAGTAGTAATAGTAGTAGTAGTAGTAGTAGTAGTAGTAGTAGTAGTAGTAATATTGGCAGTAATATTGTTTTTTATTATTATTGTTATTATTGTTGTTGTTATTGCTGCTATTATTATTATTATTATTATTATTATTATTATTATTATCACATCTCACAACAATAACAAATAATTATATATATTTACAACAAGTACAGAGCCAAGACAGTAACAGACTATACAGCCAGACACACCTTCACACACCAGTCTGGAGTGATTAGCTGAATGGGTTGTGCTTCAGTGTATGAGTGACGTAACACCTTGCTTGAAGTAACTATAATCGTCTTGTTAGTTTGATGGCCAGTGACGGAATGTTACAGTTGTGACGTGATATGACTACTGCTACTACTACTACTACCATCACCACAACCATAATCTACGGCTGTTTTGATGACCAATATCCCTGATGAAGGAATTTGTCACCTATAAATACCAGTTATCTGCCTCTCATCTTCAGTCTACTGCCGTCTGTCGTAGAGGAAACAACTCCGGAGGTGAACTTTCTGACAGTAATTACACGTCTTAAGTTTATTAATGAAAACTTAGAAAAATTAAGTTCGGGATTTAGTTATCTGAAGACGGTTTGAGTCTATGTTTCCAGCTGATGTTTTAACCCCTTGAGTACAAAGTTTAATCCCTTGAGTACCATCATGTTTTAACCCCTTGAGTACAAAGTTTAATCCCTTGAGTACCATCATGTTTTAACCCCTTGAGTACAAAGTTTAATCCCTTGAGTACCATCATGTTTTAACCCCTTGAGTACAAAGTTTAACCACTTGAGTACCATCATATCTTAACCCCTTGAGTACAAAGTTTAACCACTTGAGTACCATCATATCTTAACCCCTTGAGTACTATAATGTCTTAACCCCTTGAGTACGACATCTTAGCCTATCAAACACGATAACACTGTACTTGAAGGGTTAAGTTATCTGGTCAAGGGCTCAACTCATCGTCATCAAGGGGTCAATCATCGTCATCAAGGGGTCAATCATCGTCATCAAGGGGTCAATCATCGTCATCAAGGGCTCAACTCATCGTCATCAAGGGGTCAATCATCGTCATCAAGGGGTCAATCATCGTCATCAACGGGTCAATCATCGTCATCAAGGGGTCAACTCATTTATTCAAGGGGTCAATCATCGTCATCAAGGGGTCAACTCATCGTCATCAAAGGGTCAATCATCGTCATCAAGGGTCAATCATCGTCATCAACGGGTCAATCATCATCAAGGGGTCAACTCATTTATTCAAGGGGTCAATCATCGTCATCAAGGGTCAACTCATCGCGATCACAAGTGGAGAGGAAGGAAGGTGGGGAGTTGAGGTGAAGGAAGGGAGGAGGGTTGGGGAGGGGGGGAGAGAGGAGGGGAAGGGAGAGGGGAGTTGAAACACCTTGCCATGGTAAATTAACACCTCAGCACCTGTTGTGGACTGGAGAGGTGCATGCTACAAAAACTAGTCGACTCAACCTATCACCTTGTGAAAGTAAAATTGGCTTGACGATTACCACCACTATCACATTTCCACAACAATCACACCTTACAACCTCATTAATAACACCTGCATAACATCTATTCAATCACCTAGAGTATCATCCAATCATCTGCAACCACCATTCAATCACCTGCGTAACCACCATTCAATCACCTGCCTAACCTCCACTCAATCACCTGCCTAACCTCCACTCAATCATCTTCACAAACTCATTCAATCACATCTTCAATAACCTCAATAACAACACCTGCGTAATACGTGTTGTCACCTTATGTAGAGACGTACCATTATAGTCTACTCCTTATAACCTGTATTTAAACTAAGACAATAATTTAAACCACATATTATAGCAGTATTCTATCATCTCGTTTTGGTATGTATAATCATCAATAATTCTACTAATCTTTTCCAGATATGTTCTCGAGTGGTAGTGTGGTAGCCGTGGTGGTAGCGGTGGTGGTAGCCGTGGTGGTAGGTGATTCAGGCTACTTCCCATCTCCTGCCTCAGCTCGGTGTTATCCTGAGATTAATTACGTCACCAAGTACCAAACAGAGTACCAACAGGTAGATTAGAGTGACGTCATGATTAAATATGTAGATTAGAGTGACGTTATGATTAAATATTATCTGTCATATGAAATTTCTGGGCTTATGGTTAGGTTAGGTTTTCTTATGTAGGGATGTGGTTTTTTTATTTAGTCTAAAGGTTTTTCTTTCACTACAGGTACCAGTGTATACAAGTATCTACAAGCAACAGGTCGTCCCTACCACCCTTACAGAACCCAGTACCAAACTTACTACCAGACCAAGTACCAGACCCAATTCATCCAAATATGAGACTGAAATCGTCTTCAGAACCCAACTCCAGTACGTAACTCAATACCGAAACCAATACCGAACCCAATACCGAACCCAATATGCCACCAAGAACGAATATCCCACAATATATCACTAAAACCCGATACCAAACCCATTATGTAACCCAGCCCCAGTATCAGACCCTATATAAGACCCAATATCAACCCCAGTACATTACCAAGACCCAAGTACGATACCAGACCCAGTACCAGACCCAGTCCCTGAGTACGTGACAGCCCAGACCCAATATTGGTTATAAGACTTCTTTCCTCATAAGCCTTATTACGAGTACTAATGAAGACGACTGGACAGGTGCTTGGTAGGTCAGGAAGCTCCTCAACATGAACAGAATGTAAACAGTAACGCAAGAACGTGTGTGTGTGTGTGTGTGTGTGTGTGTGTGTGTGTGTGTGTCTGCCTAAGAAGAGATGTGAAATCTACGTTACACACACACACACACACACACACGTTCCCAAAACAGTATGCCTCTGGTAATATGTACGTATGTATGTATGTATGTATGTATGTATGTATGTATGTATGTATGTATGTATGTATGTATGTATGTATGTATACGTATATTGTAATAGGATGTCTGTTTAAAACTAGTCAAATTTATATATGATATTATACCATGTGAATAAATATTATATTATATGAATATTATATATTTAACCTAACCTAACCTAACCTAACCTAACCTAACCTAAGAGAGACAAAGAAAAAAAAAAAAGAAAATTAATTAAAGTTTTGGTCTAATAATAATCAATGAAAAATAAGTCTTATGATACACAATGATTTGCTTTATTTTTTCCTATCTATCTATCTATCTGTCTATCTATCTATTTATCTATCTATCTATCATCTATCTATCTATCTATCTATCTAAATAAACAAACGAAGGATTTAGTTGGAGAAAATGAAAAATGTAGAAAGTGATAGTAACACACACACACACACACACACACACACACACACACACAGCACACACACACAGACACACACACACACACACACACACACCTTATGTTACAGTTTGGGAAGGAATACAGTGAATACAGTAACTTAAGGAAACCAACTTACTTTTTTTTACTTGCAAAGGCTACAGCGTATGTGTGTATGTATGTATGTATGTATGTATGTATGTATGTATGTATGTATGTATGTATGTATGTATGTATGTATGTATAGCAATATTTACCCGCCTTATTTCCAGGTTAGGTTTACACTTTAGACAGGAAGAACTACAGTAGGCTGGGTTAATGAAACAGGTTGCAGGTAGGCACTGTGTTTGGACATCACTCACTTACCTGACCCAAGACGAGATGATGTTTGAAAGAGCTTCCACCACCACCGTCCACACGCAAGGAGGTGACGGGGTGACTCAGGTAAGGTCGATGTACTAGTTCACTCATCTACAGGTGTCGAGTTTACTACCTGTCTATTATTATTTATCTCTATTTACCTGTTTATTTATTTATTTATTTGTCTATCTACCTGTTGATTTATCTACCTGTTGATTTATCTACCTGTTGATTTATCTACCTGTTGATTTATTCCTGTTGATTTATCTACCTGTTGATTTATCTACCTGTTGATTTATCTACCTGTTGGTTTTTCTCCTGGTATTATCTACCTGTCAGCTCATTTACTTATCGATTCATCTCATCTACCTTTCCACTTATCTACCTGTCCACCCATGTTATCTACCTGTCGACTCACCGTATGTTGTAATTACGGGCAGGTAACCCAAAGCTGTTGGTCATCACCGTTATTTTCCCAAACAAAAGAAATTTACCTGAAGTTCAGGCATCCCAGCTTGGCACACCTGATGAATAAATACCTTTTCGCTTACCTAACCTAATGCTAACTTAACCTGCTTAACCTAACCAAAACTTGATATGCAGAAAGTATAAGCAAATCTTCATTTTACATCCTCTAAGCTCAAGCTATTTAAGGCACGTCCGCACACTAAGCTGAGACTAAACCTTCATCCACACACTAAGCTGAGGTTAAATCTTCATCCACACCTGCTGAGGTTAAACCTTCATCCACACACACTAAGCTGAGAATAAGCTTACCTCACAGTGTATTGTGGGACGAGGGACAGTTTTTAAAGCTTGAGGTGTCGTGGTCAAGGAGAAGACTCATTAACTGCTCAGGTGAAGAGATCACGGTTGACTGTTCACCTGAGGATCTAACGAGTAATCTAGAAACAAGGGGCATTTGTGTCTTTGGTCTTGTTGACGAGAATAAACACATTCTGTCTCATCTGTGTCTTAAGTCTGTCTTATTCTCTGTCTGTCTCTGTCTCTCTGTGTGTCTCTTTTCTCTATCTCTATATCTCTCTTACAGCAGGTATGATCTAATACTCGCCTTCACCCCTGAGGCAGTGACACGGCAGCAGGTGATTGACCCCTCTCACCTTCCAGCGACCTTCGACAGAGCGCTAAACCCCACAGGTGAGCCGACCTATAAATAACAGCTACCTTTCGCTCTTCGTCAGTCTCTCGTGATCTGCCGAAGAGGAAACAACTCTCAGAGGTGAATACATCTTCCTGAACCGTGTCTCAAATGTTAATGTATAGAGTGTCAGATTCACTTCCAGCACCACACACACAAAAACACAGATGGCAAATGAATAACACCTACAAGTCATTATAATTCATTCTACACGATATATAAATATTCTCTAGATCAATGTGCTATGGAAATCCTAAGTTAACGTACGAGTTTATTGATAAATTATTACTTGTACTAATAAATTGTGAATTGTACCTGTTCTTATCAGGTGGAAAGGTGGACTGTATTTATTTTTGGGGTTCCAGATGCTGTCTTCAAGTGCCAGTATAGTGGTGGTGGTGTTGGTGGCTGTGGTGGCGGCTGTGGTGGTAGCTGATTCAGGCTACCTCCCTCCTCCTAAGCCCTGCTACCCCAAGACACATCAAGTCACCTATTAACAAACAAAGTACCAGCAGGTAGGTACTGGAGGGGTGTGTGTGTGAGGTGAACGATCCTCATAGGACGTGATGATATGAGAACAAATCCTAAGGTGTTCTGGAAGTATATCTCGTAAGAATATATTTTAAAGTGTTTTTTGTTCTTCATATTTGTGTTTTGGTTGAGATAATTAGAGATTAGGAGACTATGATGGATTGTTAAAGGATTATTCTGTTTGTTTTGGTGTTTGGGAAATTATGATGAAGATTCGTTCGTTTTTGGTAAGTTTTGTTTTCCCGTCTCCGTAGGTTCCCGTCTACCATACTGTCTACAGCACCCACTACGTCCCCAGTACCTATTACCAAGACCCAGTATAAAACCCAGTACCAGACCCACTACGAGACCCAGTATGTTCCTCAGTATGTCACCCAGACCGTCTACAAGACCCAAGTTAATTACGTCACTCAGTACCAGACTCAATACAAGACCGAATACAAGACCCAGTACGTCACCACAACCCAGTATGTCCCAAAGTACATTACTGAGACCCAATACAAGACCCATTACGTACCCACACCCAGTACCAGACTGTATAAGACCCAGTACGTGCCTTAAATACGTGACCACGACCCAGGTGCAGTACCATACCCAGTATGAGACCCAAGTGGTCCCTGAGTACCACACCGTCGCAGACCCAACACACCTACAAGACCGTGTGCCCAAGCCAACCTATGGGTACTGAGAGCCACACCACCGCCACACCACCGCCACACCTGAGCTCCCACTGTTTACTTAATTAGTGTACAGGTATAATTAGTCTCTCAGTGTCTAGAAGTTCAATAAAGTCACAGAATTTATACCGATTATAAATTTTTTCCCTCTATCGTTTTTTAATAATAATTTTACTGAATATAAATTAATTTACAATAAATTTTGCCCTTATTCACCATACAATCATATACACAATACAATCATACAATTACATTATCTATAACTATAAATACAGATATAATTATATTTCTTGTAGACTAAAATCGATAAATTAATTCATGGCTAAGAGTGATAGGTGATACTTTTATTTATAATTTAAAGATTATTAAAAACTACAAAGATATTTATTTATTTATTTATTTATTTATTATCATTACACACAAGCCTCTTACTATTATGTGGCCTTCAGATAAGTGTCGAGTCCTGAGTGTTAGTATGCAACCTAACTCTATCCTAAGCTAACCTGAGCTAATTAACCAAAGGTAAGCTAACCTAACCTAACCTGGAAACACAAACACGAACACGAATACGAACACGAACACAAACACGAACACAAACACGAACACAAATACGAACACAAATGAACACAAATGCGAACACAAATACGAACACAAATACGAATACAAATACGAACACAAACACGAACACGAACACAGAAGACGAGAAATAAAATATTTACTTTCTCCACTCTTAAGGAAATGATGATGACAGAAGGTTAAAGATAACTCTGATAAACAGAAGAAAGAGAAATTAATTAAGGGAGAAGAAAATATAAGAAAATCAGGTAAAAAGAGAGAGAGAGAGAGAGAAAAATATACAATATATACGAGGCCTCACGAGTATCCTGTGTGTGTGTGTGTCTGTGAGAGAGGGTGCTCACTTAAAGCCATTATCAGTATGTATCGAGGATCACCTGAAGATTAGCCTTAGTTTATTTTATTTGATATTTAAACATTCCTAACATGTTAAGGTTTAGGTTAGGTTTGTGTTGAGGCTAGGCTATGGTATGCTTTAGGTTAGGTTAGGTTGCTTTACTGTCAGCAATGCTCGTCTTGTTGCCTCCAAATTTATGCATCTACAAACACCAGACATGACTCACAACTAGAGAATAGGTCAACACATAAAACACACTATAAACACTGAGGTTAAAAAAAAAGCATACAAGGGAGCAGCCAGTCCTATGTCTATTGTTTTAAAGGAAGAAATCACATTATCTCTCTCCTCCGATGGCGTGGACGAAAAAAAGTCAATCATCAAATTCAGAATGCCAACGTCTTGATGCTGGCACAAGACCAAGACAGACAGAGACAGACAATGGCTATGGATGTAAACGGTGGGGAAGAAGGAGAAGAAGAAGGAGGACAGGAGGAAGAAGATAGAGGAGCAGGAACGGAGGAGAAAAAGAAGAAGAAAGGCTTTAACACAATACCTTCATATGTTATTACATACATGTTGAGGTTAGGTAGGATGAGTTGGTTAGGTTAGGGATGAGGTTTGAAGAAGTTAGTATGAGAGTTAGTTAGGATGAGTTAGGTTAGGGATGAGTTAAGGTTAGGATTGAGCGGTTGGTTAGTTTAGGATGGAGTTGTTGTTGGGGGATGAGTTGCGAGGTTAGGGATGAGTTGTTGAGGTTAGGATGAGTTAAGTTGTTAGTTAGGGATGAGTTGTTGAGTTAGGTTAGGATGAGTTAAGGTAGCATATTAGGGACATGAGTTAGTGATACAGAGTTTAGTTAAAGAAAGTTTGTTGATATAACATGCCTAGACACTTGGCCCACCACCTTAAGCACGTCTAGACACTTGGCCCACCACCTTAAGCACGTTCTAGACACTTGGCCCACCACCTTACACGTCTACATGACTCTGGCCCACCACCTTAAACACCCAGGACACTTGGCCCACCACCTTAAGCACGTCTAGACACTTGGCCCACCACCCTTAAGCGTCCCAGACACTTGGCTCACCACCTTAAGATTGTCCTGACGACTTGCCCACCACCTACACGTCTAGACACTTGGCCCACCACCCAAAGCTCAGAAACTTGGCCCACCACCTTAAACACGTCTAGGACACTTGCTCACCAATTTTAAACACTTCTAGACACTCGTACCCACCACCTTAAGCAACGTCTAGACACTTTGGCTCACCACCTTAAGCACTTCTTGACACTTTGGCCCACCATTAATTAACACGTTCCAGACACTTGGCTCACCACCTTAAGCACCGATACTTGGCCCAGTCACATCAAGCACTTCTAGATTCTTGGACTGCCACTTGACACTTGGCCCACCACCTGACATCATTGACCAAGCATCGTCCTGACACTTCGCCACCTTAAGCCACTTCTAGATACTGGCCCACCACATCGGCACTTAGACTATTCCCACACCGCCATTGACACTTGGGCCTACCACTTGCCACGCCTAGACACTTGGCTTACCCTTGCCATGATTCTCTAGACCTGGGCCCACCACCTTAAGCACTTTCTAGGCACTCGCCACCACATCAAGCACATCTAGATTCCCGCCACCCACCTGCACTTCTGTGACAGTCTGGCCCCCCAAAATTAGCAACCCACAACACGTTCTCAAGTGTGGTAACCAGGTAGGAATTCTTAATGGCCTTCACATGGAGACAAGATACTGTATGTGTGAGAATCAGATGACAGTAAGGCCCCCCTCCCTCCTCCCTCCCCCTCCTCCAACCTCCCTTTCCACCACTTCCTCTCCCTACCCCTCCTCTTGACGGATTACAGAGACGGGTAAGTAGACGGGGAGACAAGAAATTAACGCATTGCTGAATTTCAAAAAATACGTATTATTATTATTATTATTATTATTATTATTATTTTATATATTATTATTATTAATTATTATTTATTATTATTTTGTATTATTATTATTATTATTATTATTATTATTATTATCATCATATTATTTATATTATTATCATCATTATTATTATTATTATTATTATTATTATTATTCTATTGCCATATTTTTCACCCTATTCTTCTTCCTTTTTCTTACACACACATAAATGAGATCAGTATTAATCATGCCTGTAATAGTTATTGATTGAATGACCTTCCACGCTCGTTAAGTTCCTTGACACTTTAGCACACCAGTGAGTTACAGATCAGTATTGTGTGTGTTTGTGACACCACACACACACACACACACGCACACACACACTAATATGTTTTTAGAGCGTATCTCACCCTTCCCCAGGTGTGACGTAACAATTACTACTATATATATTTGAGGTGTTGGCCCACCTTCATCAGTTGCCCTCTTACCGCAGATACCCACTAAGTTAATCTCTACTTAACTACTGTCTTAACTTCATCCCTGGTTTTACATATTTATAAACTTTTCTTACTGCGGAAAATTTTTGATATTTTAATGAAGGAGTTTATAATTTTTATGTATTTTTGTATTTTAGTTTTTATCTGGATTTTTATGTAATTTTGTGATTAATTATGATTATGATTATTAAGTAGAAAAGTAGTAGTAGTATGGTAGGATAATTACCACTATAGTTTCCATTACTATCACCTATCACTAATTATTACTATCATTATTTCTCTCTGTCTCTCTCTCTCTCTGTTTTCTCTCTCTCTCTCTCTCTCTCTCTCTCTCTCTCTCTCTCTCTCTCTCTCTCTCTCTCTCTCTCTCTCTCTCTGTCCACCTACCTTCCACACAATGCTAAATATATACCTTGAGGTTAATACATTTATCATTGGCTCTTGTTAAGGTCCACAGCTTTGTCAATTACCTCAAGGTTGGGGTGCTATTGGATATTTCTTGAATGACCGTAAGTTAAATATTTTATTTTTCTCTCTTAATTGGAGGAACACTAGAGGGTTTACCTGGTTGGTTTAAGGCAGGTGATTAATTTTTTGGATAATGTTATAATTAGGTCTAACGCTTTGGTTGGGTTAGGTTAGGGTTGGGTTGGTAATGCCATTCTCCTTCTTCCTTCTTCTGTCTCTCTCATTCTTTATTTTTCATCAAGGTCTTTCTCTATCTCCTTGTTCACTACCTCTTTTGTCATTTCCCTTTAAAATTTACACACACACACACACACACACACACACACACACACCTAGCCTTCTCATGGTTACTCCTCCCAAAGTTAACACCAAATCTAATTATATTTTTTTTATACCCAAACTGAGTTCTCTTTTTTTGTTTTTTTTTTTTTTTTTCTCTCTCTGTCTCTCTCTCTCTCTCTCTCTCTTCTATAAGATCAATGCCATAATTTATCTACATCAAATCATAACAACATAACTGCAACACCAATACAATACCACAACACCATTAACACCACAACGACCACAACACCACAACTTCATATTTCACCTGTGTAATTCTATAATGAAGCTTAATAACCACATGTTACTGTTTGTTATCGTTCTTTTTCATCACCTCCTCTTATCGTTCTTTCATCACTCCTCTTATCGTTCTTTTCACACCTCCTCTTATCGTTCTTTCATCACCTCCTCTTATCGTTCTTTCATCACTTTCTTATCGTTCTTTCATCTTTACCTC